GTGACTCTGAACAATGTGGTCTGGAAAACCCTTTCAGTTTTACCCCTTTTACTGTTGATGTTGTTCGTGAAGCTTTAACCAAGTTAGATCCTAAGAAACCGGCCGGCCCGGACAACGTAGAACCTTTCTTTTTAAAGATAGCTGCAGATTTTATTGCTCCACCTCTCACTTCTCTTTTTAACCTCTCCCTCAGCACTAACACAATTCCAAAAGTATGGAAGTCAGCGTATGTCCTGCCTTTGCTAAAAGGAGGGGAGGCCACCTTATTAAATAACTATAGACCAATCTCTAAGTTGTCAGTTCTGGCTAAGGTTCTTGAACGCCTAGTGAGTGAACAGGTAAAGGTGTTTTTATGTAACAATGACATCCTGTCTAAACATCAGTCAGGCTTCAGAAAGCAACACAGCACCATCACTACCACAATGAAACTGATGAATGATGTTACGAGTATCTTAGATAATAAGCAGAGTTGTGCAGCTGTATTTATTGACCTGTCCAAAGCGTTTGACACCGTCGATCATCGCATCTTAAAGCAGAGGCTACTCAGTATCGGCATATCCAGCCATGCAGTGGGTGGTTTGTGAACTACCTCTCTGAAAGGTCCCAATGTGTTCACTTTGATGGGCTGTCTTCTGAGTGGTTAAACATTGCTAATGGTGTTCCTCAAGGTTCTGTTTTAGGTCCACTTTTATTCTCCATATCAACAGTTTAGGTGAAAATGTGGATGAAGCTACTTTACATTTGTATGCGGATGATACCGTGATGTACTGTGCAGGTCCCTCCATTCAGGAGGCTGGTGTTAAATTACAGGCTGTTTTTAACATTATTCAGACTCAGAACTAAAGCTTCTTTTAAATGTGGATAAAACCAAGGTAATGCTCTTTTCTAAAGCTAAAAAGACACCAGAGCCTGTTTTAGATATTGTTACTATGCAAGGAATAAAACTCAAAGTGGTTACCTGTTACAGATACCTGGGTATCTGGCTTGATGATTGTCTCTCTTTTAAACTTCATATCAATAACCTGCTTAAAAAGCTGAGGGTTAGACTAGGTTTCTTCTACAGGAACAAGTCCTGTTTCTCTCTTGAGGCCAGGAAAAGGCTCTGTGACCTTTTGACCTGTGCTGGACTCTGGTGATCTGATCTATATGAATGCACCTGCCCATTGCCTGGTCAAGTTAGATGCTGCCTATCACAGCGCACTGAGATGTGTGACTAATTGTAAATCATTAACCCATCACTGTACCCTGTATGCAAGGGCTGGTTTGCTTTCACTAACTGTACGGAGGCTCAGTCACTGGTACATTTTTATATACAAAGTCATGTTAGGGAAACTTCCATCTTATATCTGCTCCCTGATCTCAGGGTGAATTGTAAGTGGCTACTGCCTGAGATCGCATGCTGTGGTTTTATTAAATGTGCCAACTGCTAGGACTGTCTTAGGGAAGACAGCTTTTAGATGCGCAGCTCCTCTGTCTTGGAATAGTCTGCAAATTAAATGGAAACTGAACAATCTGGTGCCACTAAATGTTTTTAAAGCTCGGTTGGATGCTACTCAATCGGAAGCTGTTGGTACCTGTTTATGTGGATCATTATGTAAATGATGCTGTATGATGTCCTTTTGTTGTTCTATTTATGTTTTTATGTTTCATGTGGAACTACTTGAGCAGGTCTCCCTTGAAAAAGAGATCAATGATCTCAATGGGATTTATTTGTATAAATAAAGGTTTGAAATGAAATGAAATGAAAGCAGGGAGGCATTGGAAACATGTCTTTAACTAGTGAATAACTGAACCCCACTGAACAGGGGTGAACAACGTTTTTTTCCCTGCCTACACTCAAACTGTGCGGTGTCTCACTCTTCCTCATTGACCGGTAGCACAAGGCTCTCACGCTGTCAGACTGTCTTTGTTGGACACTGAATAAAGAAAAACAGAGTGTTGGGTTAGATATATTACTCACGTCAACACAATGGCTATGTTACTTACAAATAGCATGTAATGCCAGGCACTTACCTTTCTACCACGTAGCATAACAGTGGCTATTAACAAGTCTAACTTTAGTTAACCATGCCCACTAACGTTTTAAACAATTAGGATCAGATAGAGTCCATAAAGTAAGACAAAAGTGTTGATTATAAATAACGAATTTGTACAACAAAAGCTTGCATTTGACATTAGCCTAAATTAGCATTAGCTAGTTAACTAGTCAATCCGTTTTGTAAACACCGGGGCCTTTTCTCATTTCTCTAACTCCCCTCCTCGACTCCTATCCTCGAGACTTAGTCCCGCCCACAGGAGATGCGAGCCGAGGAACCGAGGAGAGAGGAGGGGAGCCGAGGAGAGAGGAGAGGAAGCAGCAGGCGGTTAGAGAAATGAGAACTCCTCTCCTCTGAGCGGTCATTTTAAAGAGACGTCCATTAATGATGACAGGAGGCAGCAGCCCTCTGTCTGATGGACAGATGTGTTCATGACCACTTCTATATTTACTTTGATTCATTCACAGTGCGGTGTAATGAGACAATAACAGGCTGCAGATGAGGACACACACACACACACACACACACACACACACACACACACACACACACACACACACACACACACACACCACACACACACACACACACACACACACACACACACACACACACACACACACACACACACACACACATATGTATATATTTATATACATATACAATTTCAGAATCAAACAGAGCACTCTCATAATAACACTATCAGAGACTGGATATACATCCCGCATCTCCCCTCTCCCCTCTCTGGTCGCTACAATGAGGAAAATAAATTCCGGGTCAAAAGTTGTATTTACAAGTATTAAAAGTAAGCAGAGGACACCAAACCAACTGAGACCTGTCTGTCCGCTGCATCTACGCACACACTGTACCACACACACGCACCTACAGCTAACAGCCTAACAGCCGTTGTGTATTTTATTTTGTGAAGCACTAAATGCTCTTAGAAACATCTGGACTCATTGTTTGTAGATATCTACTAAACTAAAGCAAAGAGAGTCGGCCTGTTCTACTGAGTGATATATATTATACACACTGCTCTGCTTTCTGCACGGACCTCTCAGCTGTTCTCTCTGGAAACATCGCGTAACGATGAGAGCAGTTACTAAAATAATATCCAGGGGATGTATGCAGAGCTGTGATTGGCTGAGATCAGTCCGGCCGTGCGTCACGACTCTTTGAAACATCTCTGCCGTGGAGGACCCATCAGTGTCTCCTCGGTTATAGCTCCTCCAGTGAGCCTCCTCTCTCCTCTCTCCTCGGTTAGAGCTCCTCCAGAGAGCCTCCTCTCTCCTCTCTCCTCGGTTATAGCTCCTCCAGAGAGCCTCCTCGATGCTCGATGCTCGGTCCTCGAAGTGCATTTAGATAATTGAGATGTCCTTCAACATGGCGCGCTGAAATTCATTTCCGGGTCACTTCCGGAGGACCGAGGAGTCAAGGAGTCGAGGAGGGGGATTTGATGAAAAGGGCCCGGGTGTAGAACGTCACCATTGTTGTTGTTGTACCGGAAAAAGTTGGGCAGTACTACGCACAATGCGGAAGTAACTGTGCATGTAGCCTATTATGTCCCGTAATGTTCCACCACAAAAGCAAGCAACTGTCGGACTTACGCTCTACAAATACTCACAGTATGAAAACACGCTAAACACAAGTCAATCAATATCAACTCACCTTATGATTTGCATGGCTTTATCCTAGCTAACACCAGTGAGTGAATGACAATGTTTACAAATTGACAGCTGTATTTACGTTGCTCGTTGTAACGGCAAATGTGAACTCTGCTTTTTGCAAACAATGCGTCTTGTGATAACCTGTAACTATGACGAACATTTGATGACATTAAATCGATGCGGGAAGAAAATATGGTGGACCCCTCCCCCCTCTTTGTTTAAAACCTCTTAAGCCCCACGGCCGAAATCGCGTCATTTGCAGGAAACAACGTCTAAGGAACGTTAATATTTAATAAACTATGAATATTTGATATCCATATAACGGGAAAAAACTAATTTAACTGATCTTTTTTATTAAAAAAAACAAAAACAAAAACACAATGCTAACAGTGAGCCTCTGAATTAGCCCCGAGCGAAAAATGCTAACCTATTACTGCACCGATAATCACTCCTAGCTCCCTTATTACTTATCCTAGCTGCACATCCAACACATTGTTTATGATCGTAAAGACACAGAATCTAACGGTGCCCACCTCAACACTGAAAGATACAAACTTGCGACGTTATCAACAAAAACGTAAACAAGTGGCGCTAGGTAGCCTACAACGCTAACATGGCTTACCTTCGTGTTTGTCTGGTCTAAACTGGTCTTCAATGGCATTAAAACGATAACAACGATGGTGTAGTTAATCCATAGGTTAATCCAATGTGACTGCGTCCCCTTTGAAATGTTCTGATAATCCATGAGCAATAAAACTGCAATTCCGTTTTAAAATATCAGAGCAGGGATATTCCTACGCTCTGTGGCAAGATTGAATGCACAAAGAGACCACCTTTTTTTTAACATGAATGTGTGCGGGACGATTTCCCTTGGATTATATTGGCTCTAACGGCCAGAAAGAGATGTCACATGTCAAAATCGAAGAAGGGGGGCCAGAGATATGGAAAATCCACCCAAATGACCCCAGAAGTGTTTTTTTTGCTAAATCTGTCTAAAAAGGTCAGATTTCACTTGTTTTGCATCAATCTTGATACAGGGTACTTATTATATGTTGTACTTTGGATTCCTAAAGCTTTTAGTCTACCTTACCATCATCCAAGGTTAGTTTTCACTATAAGTACACAATTATTTTTGGACGGACACTATAATTTACAGTTTTTTACTGTTTTCAATCTGAATTTTCTTTAAAATAAAAAAACATCTATATTGATTCTGACATCCAACTCACAGGTTTATCATTACTTTGAGAACAAAGATTATTAATTTAACCCTTTTAGAAGGGAACATATGGTCATTTGTTCAGGGAATGTCATTTTCGAGCCTGAGACCTGAAAAACAGGCTCAGGGTTTAACAGGTTAAAATATTTCAACAGTAAAACATTTCAACAGTAAAACATTTCAACAGTAAAACATTTCAACAGTAAACAGGGTTAATCTGAGCCTTCATGTAACAGAGCCTCAAAGGTTGGACTCCTGCTCAGGACCAGGAGGGTTCATCTCCCCTCTCTCCCCCCCCCTCCCTCTTTCCCCGTTCCTGCCCCTCCTCCCCTTCTGATTGGTTGAAGCTGGCGGCTCTGAACCCCCTGAAGGACGGGCTGATGGGAAGCCAGCGGAGGAGGCGGGACCTTCTGATGGCGTCCATCATCAGAGGAAGGTCATAGGAGGAGGAGGAGGAGGAGGAGGAAGAGCATCGGCCCTGAACCAAGCCTCGCTCCTCCCGGGACCCTGCAACAACGAAGAAGAAAACACAAGTCAGTGTGTGTGTGTGTGTGTGTGTGTGTGTGTGTGTGCGTGTGTGTGTGTGTGTGTGTGTGGGTGTGAGGTGTGTGTGTGTGGGTGTGGGTGTGGGTGTGTGTTACCTGGTATTGTGTTGTCGAGACAAAAAGCCAGAAAACCTCCGACGAACATCTCTGTGGATAAGAGAACCGTCAGGATCTGATCCAGCTCTGCAACCCCTGAACACACACACACACACACACACACACACACACACACACACACACACACACACACACACCCACACACACACACACACACACACACACACACACACACACACACACACACACACACACACACACACACACACACACACACACACACACACACACACACACACACACACACACACACACACACACACACACACACACACACAAAGGTGGAGTTGGTATAATATATGTTTAAATATCAATAATATTGTCTATAGGTCTCTAACACACAAACACACACACACCCTCACCTGTGTGGATGGAGGAGGGGTGTGTGTGCAGGTACGCTGGCAGAGTCAGACCGAAGAACATCGAGAACCCGAGAACAAAAAGATTTCTGGACGAATTCAAATCCACCAGCTGCAGGTTAGAGAGCCCGACAGCTGTGATCATACCTGAGGAGACACGATGATGCCTTCACTAACACCTGGATCATGATGACATCACTAACACCTGGATCATGATGACCTCAGTAACACCTGGACAGGTGATCCTCAGTAACACCTGGACAGGTGACGCTCACTAACACCTGGACAGGTGCCCCTCACTAACACCTGGACAGGTGACCCTCAGTAACACCTGGACAGGTGACCCTCAGTAACACCTGGACAGGTGCCCCTCACTAACCCCTGGACATGTGCCCCTCACTAACACCTGGACAGGTGACCCTCACTAACACCTGGACAGGTGACCCTCACTAACACCTGGACAGGTGACCCTCAGTAACACCTGGACAGGTGACCCTCAGTAACACCTGGACAGGTGCCCCTCACTAACACCTGGACAGTGCCCTCACTAACACCTGGACAGGTGCCCCTCACTAACACCTGGACAGGTGACCCTCAGTAACACCTGGACAGGTGCCCCTCAGTAACACCTGGACAGGTGCCCCTCACTAACCCCTGGACATGTGCCCCTCACTAACACCTGGACAGGTGACCCTCACTAACACCTGGACAGGTGACCCTCACTAACACCTGGACAGGTGACCCTCAGTAACACCTGGACAGGTGACCCTCAGTAACACCTGGACAGGTGCCCCTCACTAACACCTGGACAGGTGCCCCTCACTAACACCTGGACAGGTGACCCTCACTAACACCTGGACAGGTGACCCTCACTAACACCTGGACAGGTGACCCTCAGTAACACTTGGACAGGTGACCCTCACTAACACCTGGACAGGTGACCCTCACTAACACCTGGACAGGTGACCCTCAGTAACACTTGGACAGGTGACCCTCACTAACACCTGGACAGGTGACCCTCAGTAACACCTGGACAGGTGCCTCTCACCGAACAGGGTGCAGAACATGCCCCCCAGGATGGGGTCCGGCAGCGAAGCGAACAGAGCGGTGAACTTCCCCACGGAGCCCAGCAGCAGCATGATGAAGGCTCCGTACTGCACCACCCGCCGGCTGCCCACCTGCACAGGTAACACGATACAATCAATACAAATACAATTCATATGAATAATAAAATGTATACCAACTATGTGCAATATATATATGCCGTTAATAACGGTGCTATATATACCTGGCTGCTAAATCTCAGAACTGTTACAGGATGTGTTTTTTGTAAATTGTGTAGTTTTTTACAATTGTTTAATCTTAAATGTTTGTGTATGCCTGCTTCTTAGTTAACATGAAACTGTCTTTGGCTCTTTCTGCTGTAACAAATGTACATTTCTGATTCCGTTACCTTGGTGATTCCCAGCACGCCTATATTTGGGCTGGAGGAGGTGGAGCCGTTTCCTGTCCCCAGCAGGCCGGCGATGACGCAGCACACGCCTTCAGTGAAGATCCCCCTGGAAACCATGACGAACATTTAGCTCCACCTTTTTAGTTTTTATTGTTGGTTTTAGGAGACTCACAAAGTGATGTCTTCTCCACATCACCATGAGTCCCCGGTGTGTCAGGAGACTCACTAAGTGATGTCTTCTCCACATCACCATGAGTCCCCGGTGTGTCAGGAGACTCACAAAGTGATGTCTTCTCCACATCACCATGAGTCCCCGGTGTGTCAGGAGACTCACTAAGTGATGTCTTCTCCACATCACCATGAGTCCCCGGTGTGTCAGGAGACTCACTAAGTGATGTCTTCTCCACATCACCATGAGTCCCCGGTGTGTCAGGAGACTCACTAAGTGATGTCTCCTCTACATCACCATGAGTCCCCGGTGTGTCCCCGGTGTGTCAGGAGACTCACTAAGTGATGTCTTCTCCACATCACCATGAGTCCCCGGTGTGTCAGGAGACTCACTAAGTGATGTCTTCTCCACATCACCATGAGTCCCCGGTGTGTCAGGAGACTCACTAAGTGATGTCTTCTCCACATCACCATGAGTCCCCGGTGTGTCAGGAGACTCACTAAGTGATGTCTCCTCTACATCACCATGAGTCCCCGGTGTGTCCCCGGTGTGTCAGGAGACTCACTAAGTGATGTCTTCTCCACATCACCATGAGTCCCCGGTGTGTCAGGAGACTCACTAAGTGATGTCTTCTCCACATCACCATGAGTCCCCGGTGTGTCAGGAGACTCACTAAGTGATGTCTTCTCCACATCACCATGAGTCCCCGGTGTGTCAGGAGACTCACTAAGTGATGTCTTCTCCACATCACCATGAGTCCCCGGTGTGTCAGGAGACTCACTAAGTGATGTCTCCTCTACATCACCATGAGTCCCCCGGTGTGTCCCCGGTGTGTCAGGAGACTCACTAAGTGATGTCTTCTCTACATCACCATGAGTCCCCGGTGTGTCAGGAGACTCACTAAGTGATGTCTTCTCCACATCACCATGAGTCCCCGGTGTGTCAGGAGACTCACTAAGTGATGTCTTCTCCACATCACCATGAGTCCCCGGTGTGTCCGGAGACTCACTAAGTGATGTCTTCTCCACATCACCATGAGTCCCCGATTGTGTCAGGAGACTCACTAAGTGATGTCTTCTCCACATCACCATGAGTCCCCGGTGTGTCAGGAGACTCACTAAGTGATGTCTCCTCTACATCACCATGAGTCCCCGGTGTGTCCCCGGTGTGTCAGGAGACTCACTAAGTGATGTCTCCTCTACATCACCATGTGTCCCCGGTGTGTCAGGAGACTCACTAAGTGATGTCTTCTCCACATCACCATGAGTCCCCGGTGTGTCAGGAGACTCACTAAGTGATGTCTTCTCCACATCACCATGAGTCCCCGGTGTGTCCCCGGTGTGTCAGGAGACTCACTAAGTGATGTCTCCTCTACATCACCATGTGTCCCCGGTGTGTCAGGAGACTCACTAAGTGATGTCTCCTCTACATCACCATGAGTCCCCGGTGTGTCAGGAGACTCTCAAAGTGATGTCTCCTCTACATCACCATGAGTCCCCGGTGTGTCCCCGGTGTGTCAGGAGACTCACTTAGTGATGTCTTCTCTACATCACCATGTGTCCCCGGCAGAGGTTGCGCTAGAATTTTTCGCTGCCCGTCATTGTGACGGACAGGATCGTAAAATTTCCGTCAACATCCATTATTACCCGTCGGTCTGAAACGTTTAGACCTTACAACGATGCTTAAAACGAAAACTAAACATCCAGGGTTTTTTTTAATGGTAATTTTCAGACTGTGAGTCGTTTAGTGGTAGCTGGTCCCTCGGCTCATGTCGTCCTCTCGGGGCACCTGTGCATCAACAAATAATGTCCCCCTGACCAACGTATATTGCAACACGGCAACCATCAAAATACGGAGCAAAACGTTTAAACCATAGACTGTATATATAAATGGACGAAGGGTTCGTGACGTCACCCATAGGATTCTGCAGAGCTGCCGAGAAGCCCTGAGTCGGCCGAGTCCGCATTACTTCACCCTTTTTAGTTTTTGTTGTTGTTTTTAGTTTTGTTTGTGCTGTGATTTCATTCATTTGTTCATTATTTGTTTGTCTATCATTTTAAATGTTTTTGAAATATTAATCTTGTGTTATTCTGGGGGGGGGGATACAAACCTGCACACCTGTATTTAGTTTGTGTTGTTTAAGAAATAGGAAAAGAAAGTGAAAAAAAGAAAGAAAAAAGATCCCTCTGGAAAACTAAAGGTCAAACTCCTGGAGGAGGCGGAGCCGGCATCACTTCCTGTTTACCTGCTGTCTCACCTGTTGATGGCGTGCACTGGAGGAGGCGGAGCCGGCATCACTTCCTGTTTAACTGCTGTCTCATCTGTTGATGGCGTGCACTAGAGGAGGCGGAGCCGGCATCACTTCCTGTTTACCTGCTGTCTCACCTGTTGATGAAGTGCACTGGAGGAGGCGGAGCCGGCATCACTTCCTGTCTACCTGCTGTCTCAACTGTTGATGGCGTGCACTGGAGGAGGCGGAGCCGGCATCACTTCCTGTTTACCTGCTGTCTCACCTGTTGATGGCGTGCACTGGAGGAGGCGGAGCCGGCATCACTTCCTGTTTACCTGCTGTCTCACCTGTTGATGGCGTGCATTGGAGGAGGCGGAGCCTGCATTACTTCCTGTCTACCTGCTGTCTTACCTGTTGATGGCGTGCACTGGAGGAGGCGGAGCCTGCATCACTTCCTGTCTACCTGCTGTCTCACCTGTTGATGGCGTGCATTGGAGGAGGCGGAGCCGGCACCACTTCCTGTTTACCTGCTGTCTCACCTGTTGATGGCGTGCACTGGAGGAGGCGGAGCCTGCATCACTTCCTGTCTACCTGCTGTCTCACCTGTTGATGGCGTGCACTGGAGGAGGCGGAGCCTGCATCACTTCCTGTCTACCTGCTGTCTTACCTGTTGATGGAGTGCACTGGAGGAGGCGGAGCCTGCATTACTTCCTGTCTACCTGCTGTCTTACCTGTTGATGGCGTGCACATGAAGAGGCGGAGCCTGCATCACTTCCTGTCTACCTGCTGTCTTACCTGTTGATGGCGTGCACTGGAGGAGGCGGAGCCTGCATCACTTCCTGTCTACCTGCTGTCTCACCTGTTGATGGCGTGCACTGGAGGGGACGGAGCCTGCATCACTTCCTGTCTACCTGCTGTCTCACCTGTTGATGGCGTGCACTGGAGGAGGCGGAGCCTGCATCACTTCCTGTCTACCTGCTGTCTCACCTGTTGATGGCGTGCACTGGAGGAGGCGGAGCCTGCATCACTTCCTGTTTACCTGCTGTCTCACCTGTTGATGGCGTGCACTGGAGGAGTCGGAGCCTGCATCACTTCCTGTCTACCTGCTGTCTTACCTGTTGATGGAGTGCACTGGAGGGGGTGGAGCCTGCATCACTTCCTGTCTACATGCTGTCTCACCTGTTGATGGCGTGCACTGGAGGG